CCAAAACTTTTTCTTATTTTCAACAAAATTTGTTGATAACATCTCACCCACTCTCATTTGCTCTCTTTTTACAGTGCTTCACCACTCTCTTAACCTCTCTCTTTTTCTCCATATACTCTTCCCTCCTTGCATCACTTCTACTTTGTAAAAACTTCTCATATGCTAACTTTTTCTCCCTTACTACTCTCTTTACATCATCATTCCACCAATCGCTCCTCTTCCCTCCCGCAACCCACTTTCCTGAAACCCACAAACTTCTGCTGAACACTCTAACATTTACATTTTTAAACCTACCCCATACCTCTTCGACCCCATTGCCTATGCTCTCATTAGCCATCTATCCTCCAATAGCTGTTTATATCTTACCCTAACTGCCCCCTCTTTTAGTTTATAAACCTTCACCTCTCTCTTCCCTGATGCTTCTATTCTCCTTGTATCCCATCTACCTTTTACTCTCAGTGTAGCTACAACTAGAAAGTGATCTGATATATCTGTGGCCCTCTATAAACATGTACATCCTGAAGTCTACTGAACAGTCTTTTATCTACCAATACATAATCCAACAAACTACTGTCATTTCGCCTACATCATATCTTGTATACTTATTTATCCTCTTTTTCTTAAAATATGTATTACCTATAACAAAACCCACCTTTCTATACAAAGTTCAATCAAAGGGCTCCCATTATCATTTACACCTGGCACCCCAAACTTACCTACCACACCCTCTCTAAAAGTTTCTCCTACTTTAGCATTCAGGTCCCCTACCACAATTACTCTCTCACTTGGTTCAAAGGCTCCTATACATTCACTTAACATCTCCCAAAATCTCTCTCTCCTCTGCATTTCCTCTCTTCTCCAGGTGCATACACGCTTATTATGACCCACTTCTCGCACCCAAACTTTACTTTAATCCACATAATTCTTGCATTTACACATTCATATTCTCTTTTCTCCTTCCATAACTGTTCATTCAACATTACTGCTACCCTTCCTTTGCTCTAACTCTCTCAGATACTCCAGATTTAATCCATTTATTTCCCCCCACCGAAACTCCCCTACCCCCTTCAGCTTTTTTTTCGCTTAGGGCCAGGACATCCAACTTCTTTTCATTCATAACATCAGCAATCATCTGTTTCTTGTCATCTGCACTACATCCACGCACATTCAAGCATCCCAGTTTTATGAAGTTTTTCTTCTTCTCTTTTTTAGTAAATGTCTACAGGAGAAGGGGTTACTAGCCCATTGCTCCCGGCATTTTAGTCGCCTCATACGACACGCATGGCTTACAGAGGAAAGATTCTTTTCCACTTCCCCATGGACAATAGAAGAAATAAAGAAGAACAAGAGCTATGTAGAAAAAGGAGAAAAACCTAGATGTATGTATATATATATATGCATGTGCATGTCTGTGAAGTGTGACCAAAGTGTAAGTTGGAGTAGCAAGATATCCCTGTTATCTAGCGTGTTTATGAGACAGAAAAAGACACCCGCAATCCTACCATCATACAAAACAGTTACAGGTTTCTGTTTCACAGTCATCTGGCAGGACGGTAGTACTTCCCTGCGTGGTTGCTGTCTACCAACCTACTACCTCCACATATACTTCAATGCACCACTCATCTTTTTTCCTTCATCAATTCTATGGTTAACCTCATACTTCATAAATCCATCCGCTGACACATCAACTCCCAAATATCTGAAAACATTCACTTCTTCCATACCCCTCCTCTCCAATTTCATATCCAATTTTTCTTTATCTAAATCATTTGATACCCTCATCACCTCACTCTTTTCTATGTTCACTTTTAACTTTTTACCTTTACACACTCTCCCAAACTCGTCCATTAACCTTTGCAACTTTTCTTTAGTCTCTCCCATAAGCACAGTGTCATCAGCAAAAAGTAACTGTGTCAATTCCCATTTTGTATTTGATTCCCCATAATTTAATCCCACCCCTCTCCCCAACACCTTAGCATTTACTTCTTTTACAACCCCATCTATAAATATATTAAACAACCATGGTGACATTACACATCCCTGTCTAAGACCTACTTTTACCGAGTAGTAGTCTCCCTCTCTTCTACACACCCTAACCTGAGCCTCACTATCCTTATAAAAACTCTTTAGAGCATTTAGTAACTTACTACCTATTCTATATACTTGCAACATCTGCCACATTGCTCCCCTATCCACTCTATCATATGCCTTTTCTAAATCCACTGCATGTAATTTATAAATAAGAAATATTTACACTACCTTGGAGGAGATGTTAGTTTGATGGAGGAGATGCTGACAGAGGTTTAGGGTGGTGGAAGATAGCAGGGCGGCGTATGTTCAGTGGCCCTATACACCAACAACATTGGAGAGTTACTTTCGTGTCATTTTTCTATCACTTAATCACTTACTTACTTGCTACACTGTTAATTCTACACTTTTTCGCTGGCTGGCGCTGTAGCCTTTATCGATACCTGCTGCTTTAGTATCATACATATCGTAAATCACTGAAGGCACATTCTCCCCTCTCTTCCTTCTCCACTTTGCTACTAGTTTTTTCTTGAATTCTACTGTGTTTCTTTCCTTCTTTACCAAAGGGCTGGATTATTATGAAATGTATCGTATGAACCCATGGGGTGGTCACTTGCCCACAAATCATGCCGCACTGACTCTTTGAATGTTGTGCAGGAGCCTTTGTGTACGCTCTGCCACTCCCAGCCACACAGACACATCCCGTATGATGGACGAATTGCGAGGCAAATCACGAACTGCGAAGCTTTATTTTACGAAAAAAGTTGCCGGAAATCGAAATTCACAAAGCGCGAGGCTCACGAAACTCAGGGGTCCACTGTATATACATTTGGGGCGCTAGTGGTAAGAATGGATAAATACTTTTGGACCGTTTAGGGGTTAATCACTGAAGAAGGCACATTCTCCCCTCTCTTTTCCTCCTCCTCTAAAGCAATTTCCTCAGCTGTGGTCTGTTGCTGTTGCAGATGAAGGTCTTGCAGCTCTTCAGTGGTTAGCTCTTTCCCATGGTCCTACACCAACTCTTCCACATCCTGGCCACTCACATCCAACCCCATGGACTTCCCCCAAGCCACAACACATTCCACAACAGGCAGAGGGTCGACAGGGGTCAGGGAGTCTTGCTCACTCACTCAGAGAGACAGCCAGACTGGCTCACGAATGCGTCGGAGTGGCAGGCGGAAGCATCAAATATGGCCGATTTCCAAGTTGCTGGCCAAAATCCAGGATAGAATTTCGGCCAAAACAGCGGCCGAAATACAAACTGGCCGATATCTGATGGTCCACTGTACTTTCACATGGTACTAAGTAGTCCCAGATTTTAACACTGCACACACTGCCTAGGCCAATCAGGCTTCTGATGCCAAATTTGAATGCAGGAAAAACAGTGCACTGATTAACGTCTGTAGTGCTAGCAGTAATGCACAGATCAACGGTTTGACAGTTAACCCCTTGACTGTCACAACCCCCAATCCTGAGGTGTCTCCTGGTGTCGTAAAATTAAAAAAAAATTATTTTTTCTTATGAAATGATAGAAACTGATGGAATTACGCTCTCACGAAGTTAGCGGCCTTGGCAATACTTACAAATCGACGATTTCGCCCACTTTGAGCCCTATTTTCGGCTAATTCCATTGTTCCAGTCGCCCAAACTCATAGCTATTTCTTTAGAACTCCATTTTTTCTATCGATTGAGCACAAGAAACTGCCCATTTACCAATTTCAACTACCCAATAACGTGGTCAGAAATTTGCAATTTGGCCAATTTCACAAAAATTAAAAAATATGACAATTTCAAAATAAGGTCCAGAATGAACAATGCAGACATTCCTGGCTCTAAAATAACATTTTCTTTGTTCATCAGTCATGTTTCCAGGCCCCTCTGATATTACTCTTGCTTTCTATTTTGAATTTTTATTCAAACAAAAAATAGAAGATTTACTATTATGCAGACTACTCCAATACTGTAATAATTGTATAACATAAACCCATTCATGACTGCATATCAGAATGGCTAGTTGGACATTTATTGGACAATGATGTCATTTGTTTACTTTTGAACATCGGCAAAAATCAAACATTTCCCCTACATTGAGCTCCATTTCCAGGTTCTTTTTATAGTAAAATCAATCAAAATCATCTCTTTTTCTATAATATATTTTCCATTCTATCAAATGAGACCAAGAAAACGAGAATACAACCATAAATACTATATGTAGACCACAAAGTCTTTCTTTCAACACACCGGTCGTATCCCACCAAGGCAGGGTGGCCCAAAAAGAAAAACGAAAGTTTCTCTTAAATTTAGTAATTTATACGGGAGAAGGGGTTACTAGCCCTTTGCTCCCGGCATTTTAGTCGCCTCTTACAACACGCATGGCTTACGGAGGAAGAATTCTGTACCACAAAGTCGGCATTTTAATTAAAAAAAAAACGGTCAGAGTTTTTTTTTCCCATTATGCACTGCGTGCTCCAGGATTTTTTTATGTGGTGCACACTGACCACACCGACCCATTCTCTCACATGTGGGCCTACCAGCTTTCTCCTTCTTGATTTGAAGCCGCTAGAATTTATGAGTATACATGTAGTATATACGTCAAACACAGTACCTCCTAAGACGTATATATACGGCCGCAACAGTCAAAGGGTTAAAAGGTTAAACACACTGGGTAGAATGATCCCCCCCCAAAAAAAAACAACACTTTCACCATCATTCAGTCTATCACAGTCTTACCAGAGGTGCATAGATACTACAGTTCAGATGCCCCTCTAAACTGCAAATATCCCCACCCCTCCTTTAGAGTGCAGGCACTGCACTTTATTTTATAAAACCCACACATTCATTATCAACATAATACATATACTATTTTAGAATTAAGATAATCTGTTTAAGTTATACTTAACAGTGAAATGCTCATTCGATAATATAAGACCAAAAAAGAACCATGAAATTTAAGAGATACAGTGAATACCAACCTGAAAATAGAGGCATAAACAAGAGCCTTAGACAAGTGAGGTGGGGTGGAAAAATGGACAACACGATGTCCGAGTGCAGTAAGTTTTTCACTATGCTGATCATCAAGTTCTAACATGCCCAGTTTCACTAATGTATTGACAGCTGCACTGATTGATCTCCGTGAGGGAACACTTAGTCCCTCCGAAAGAAAGCTCTGCACACTTTCTTCTCCACAGTAAGACTGAAAAATTGATTAATTTTACTCTTGAGCAATGATAAATATAGAATAGTGTTGTAAAAAGACAACAATAATTAGAGAAATGGGAAATTTCTTATATTAATCAATCATCTACTGTTCACATCAACATGAAGAAAATGGTTTGTTAAACAAATAAAGGTACCATCTGACTTACGACCAAGTTCGGTTCCGACCAACCGGTCGTAAGTCGAAATGGAGGTAAGCCGAACCTTACTACTAAATATCAACATCACATTTTTGTAATGACTTTATTTTGTTTTATTTTGGCATTTCATTTTTTACTTTACTTTTTATGCTGTTAGTACTGTATTTTATACTGTAAGATTTAGGATAAACACTGTGTACAACACAAACAGTTGTTTATTTCCCAGAAATTTGGCATAGTAAACACGGTTGTAAGTCGAATGGTCATATGTCAAGCAGGTCATAAGTCGGATGGAAGGTGTAACATTTTCCCATTAAAATCCAGTCATAATTTGATAAAGGGACTGGGCTGATGATAATTCGAATCTATTTCCCACTGGTACAAAATTTAAAAAAAAAAAAATACATTCTTACTTGAGATGGGTTTACTGTGTAGTAGAGGCATAGTGGTATAACCCCAGTTTTATGCAAGCATAACTTTGCAACTTTTCTCACGAAAAGTTGCAAAGGTTAGTGGGCGAGTTTGGGAGGGTTTGTAAAGATAGAAAGTTGAAAGTGAACATAGATAAGAGTAAGGTGATGAGGGCATCAAATGATTTAGATAAAGAAAAATTGGATATCACATTGGAGAGAGGGAGTATGGAGGAAGTAAATGTTTTCAAATATTTGGGAGTTGACTTGTCAGCATATGGATTTATGAAGTATGAGGTTAACCATAGAACTGATGAAGGAAAAAAGGGGAGTAGTGCATTCAGGTATCTGTGGAGACAAAAAAACGTTATCAATGGAGACAAAGAAAGAAATGTATGAAAGTATAGTGGTACCAACACTCTTATATGGGTGTGAAGCTTGGGTTGCAAATGCTGCAACAAGGAGGCAACTGGAGGCAGTGGAGATATCCTGTCTAAGGACAATGTGTGGAATTACTAAAAGTATTAGTCAGAGGGCTGAAGAGGGATTGGGGTGGTTTGGTCATTTAGAGAGAATGGATCAAAGTAGAATGACTTGGAGAGCATATAAAACTGTAGGGGAAGGAAGGCAGGGTAGGGGTGGTCCTTGAAGAGGTTGGAGGGATGGGGTAAAGGTGGATTTGTGGGTGAGTGGCTTGGATTTTCAGCAAGCATGCGTGAGCGTGTTAGATAAGAGTGAATGGAGACGAATGGTTTTTGGGACCTGACGAGCTGTTGGAGTGTGAGCAGGTTAATATTTTGTGAAGGGATTCAGGGAAACCGGCTAGCCGGACATGAGTCCTGGAAATGGGAAGTACAATGCCTGCACTGTAAAGGAGGGGTTTGGGATATTGGCAGTTTGGAGGGACTTCTAAGCTGTCATATCTGAGCACCTCTGCAAAGACAGTGATTATACATGAGTAAGGTGAAAGTGTTGAATGATGAAAGTATTTTTTTTTCTTTTTGGGTCACCCTGTCTCGGTGGAAGACTACCGATGTGTTGAAAAGAAAGAAAAAACACAAGAAACTATGAAAAAACATTAAAATGTAGAAAGAATTAGTCAGGAAACATCACATGGTTGTTATTGCTAGGTTGAAGGGTTGTGATGGCCCCTAGGCTGTCTACTTGTTGGTTGCTGCAGCCCTTAGAACATCAGCCTTTTAACTCAATAATAGTAGATGGCCTAGAAGCTGTCACAATTCTTAAAAAGAAAAAAAAAATTGTTTCCCAACTATTTTCTATATTTTGATAATTTTTTTTCATGTGTTTTTGTGTTGTCTACAAATATCAAAGGGTATAACATACCTCTATGCCTCTACTAAGAAGTGGACTTGTCTCTGGTAAGGGAAAGAGGAACAGCAGAAAGTACTCTCCACACACAACCAAGAGGCTTCAGGTTTTATGGGCCTGAGCATCCAGCAGGCCTGTGTGAGTGTGTTAGATACAGTGGTACCTTGACTTACGAGTGCCCTAACTTACGAGTTTTCTGAGTTACGAGCCATTGCTTGATTGATTTTTTGCTTTGAGTTGCAAGCCAAAATCCAAGTTACAAGTGAGCTTCAGATACGCTGCCACTCGCAGAGATACCGAGGAAATATCAAAAACCTTGACAATAACCAATGTGTAACATCCTTTCAATTTTGATACCACTGGTAGTGTCATCCTGCCAGAATGTTCTATAATGTATGCCCTAAGTAAAAAGAAACAATTCTGGAACATGCAATACATGTTCAGCAGGTCAGCTGGTTGGGTGGCCAGCTGGCTGGCTGATTTGCTTTGGCTGTCTCCATGTGTCTGTCTCTATCTCTCTATGTCTCTCTATCTCTGTGTGTGTCTGTCTCTGGCTCTCTGTCTCTATGTCTGTCACCATGTCTCTCTGCCTGTGTGTGTGTGTTTGTGTGTGTCTCTGTCTCTATGTCTCTCTCTCTCTCTATCTCTCTGTCTTTGTCTCACAAAACCCCAGGCCCTGATGAATTGTTTGCAAGGGTTTTAAAGGAATGTAGGAGGAACTTTGCAAACCTTTCGCTAATCTTTTCAACATATCACTACAAACTGGCATAGTGCCTGATAAGTGGAAAATGGCAAATGTAATACCTATTTACAAGGCAGGTGACAGGTCCTTAGCTTCGAACTATAGACCAATAAGCCTTACCTCCATAGTGGGAAAATTTATGGAATCAATAATTGCCGAGGCAATTCATAGCCATCTTGATAGGCATAAATTAATAAATGAATCTCAACATGGTTTTACTAAGGGGTGTTCCTGTCTTACGAATTTACTAACTTTTCTCACTAAGGTGTTTGAGGAAGTAGATCATGGTAATGAATATGATATTGTGTATATAGACTTCAGTAAGGCTTTCGATAGAGTTCCACATCAGAGACTTTTGAGGAAACTTAAGGCACATGGAATAGGAGAAATTTTTTCCCGGGTAGAGGCACGGTTGACAAATAGGTAGCAAAGAGTTTGCATAAATGGGGAGAAATCAGAATGGGGGCACGTCACAAGCGGTGTTCCACAGGGGTCAGTGTAGGGCCCCTTGTTGTTCACAATTTACATAAACGATATAGATGAGGGAATAAACAGCGACATAAGCAAATTTGCTGATGACACCAAAATAGACCGTCCAATTCATTTTATTGAGGACATTACTGCACTCCAGGATAATTTGAATAGACTAATGCAGTGGTCAGAGAAGTGGCAGATGCAGTTTAATATAGACAAATGCAAAGTTCTAAATGTTGGACAGGACAATAACCATGCCACTTATAAACTGAATAGTGTAGAACTTCATACTACTGATTGCACAAAGGATTTAGGAGTTCTGGTTAGCAGTAATCTGAAACCAAGACAACAGTGCACAAGTGTCCGCAATAAAGCTAACAGAATCCTTTGCTTCATATCAAGAAGTATAAATAATAGAAGTCCTCAGGTTGGTCTTCAACTCTATATATCCTTGGTTAGGCCTCATTTAGATTATGCTGCACAGTTCTGGTCACCATATTACAGAATGGATATACAGTAAATGCACTTGAAAACGTACAGAGGAGGATGACAAAGCTGATCCCATGTATCAGAAATCTTCCCTATGAGGGCCCTGAATCTGCACTCTCTAGAAAGGCGTAAAATTAGGGGGGAATATGACTGAGGTGTATAAATGGAAAACAGGAATAAATAATGGGGATGTAAATAGCGTGCTGAAAATATCCAATCAAGACAGGACTTGCAGCAATGGTTTCAAGTTGGAAAAGTTCAGATTCAGGAAGGACATAGGAAAGCACTGTTTTGGTAATAGAATTGTGGATGAGTGGAACAAACTCCCGAGTACCGTCATAGAAGCTAAGACCTTGTGTAGTTTTAAAAATAGGTTGGAAAATACACGAGTCGGTGTGGGTGGGTGTGAGTTGGACCTGACTACCTTGGGCTACCAGGTATGGTGCCGTGCTCCTTCCTTAAGTGGAAGTGACCTGACTAGGTGATCACTGTTCTACGGGGGGGTGGCATGGACCTGCTTCAGGTGGGTCAGTAGGCCTGATGCAGTGTTCCTTCTTTCTTATAGTGTAAATTACCTATGATAACCCCAAAAATTCAGACAAAGTACTATACTATGCTTGTAGATATAAGGCATAATAAGCATGACTGGCAAGTAATACACCTTTATACCTTTGAAGAGTTTCGAGAGTTTCTCTGCTCTCTTAGTCCAGCTCGTCTGGTGCTTGCCTGGTCAAACAGACTGTTGCTGCTGGAGGCTTGCTGCCCCACATATCCATCACAGCATGATTGATCTGGCACCTGGTGAAGATACTTGTCCAGTTTCCTCTTGAAGGCTTTAACACTTGTTCCAGCCATGTTTCTGATATCTTCTAGTAAGATGTTGAATAGTCTGGAACCCTTTATGTTGATACAGTAGGGCCCCACTTGTACGGCAGGTTAGGTTCCAGGCTACTGCCATAAAGCGGAAATCGCCGTAAAGTGAACATCCTTTTTTTCACTTATAAATGCATATAAATACTAGATAACAAGTTTACACTAACATATATTAAGTTAGGATAAAAACAGGCATTAAAAAACAATAAAAAAGGTAAAATACACATATAGTACACCCATTACTTACCTTAAAATATTTATAGTCTTAATCTAGGGTGAGACAAGTAGTGTTTATTGTAAGAAATCAAGTGTGGTATGTATGGTAGTCAGCCAGGCTACCATACCAGGCCACCCTACCCACACATAATATTCTATTACATTTCAGCGTCCCAGAGCGATAAAATGCATATATGTACAGTTCGCTCATTACTTACCTTCAAATATTTGTAGTCTTAATGTAGGGTCAGAGGTGAGTAAATGAGATAAAACAAATAAATATGTACACCTACCATCCGACTTA